TAAGCAGACTCTTGAAGGGTTTCGTAGCTGCACTACTTGTCAGTGGATTTAATTATCAGAATAGAAGTCATCATCATAAGTCTCTAACGCTCTGAAGCGAGGACGTAGCTGTCGGTTGCTCGTCCTCAATATATCCCAGAAATAGCAACTGGACAAGATGCCAGAGTCCCCAAACTAACACCACGTGCAGCATGTGAGGAACACAATGGTCGCTCTACACACGTCCGTTCATGTTAATGCATTGGGGGCCTCTATGCGGCGCCCGTGAGTTCATATCCATTTACATGAGTCTATACGGTACACAACAAGCAACATTGCATTAACACATACCATAGGAATCAACGTCAACACGGTCCACTTACCTGCTTCTCCATTGCAGACAACCGCGTATGCGAGTTCGCAGTCTTCTCTTCTTTTTGACTGTAGGTTGCTTATGATCTGTACAATAGGCAAAGTTACAGTAAGCAGGGAGCAGCAGGCACCTTCATTATACACCACAGTACCTGTTCTCAAAAGACTCACGGCCCATCAACGCGGCGTCTCCCTTAACAGCACGTTTATTAGTCCGCTCTGTTGGGCTCTCCAATTCGCCGGCTTGTTGCTTGTCTTGTTCTTCGCGTCTCGTTCCCGCTCCCCTCCGCCTGGTTGCTCTTGTTGTTCTTGGCCGTCCGCTGGGGAGTCAGCCCTCACGAGCACAATCCCTCCACTGATTCTTTGTGAACGCTCCTATTTAGGCCCCGATATAGGTGCACCGAGCCCTATCGGATGCCCGGTTTACAAATCGGGCCCCTCCGATATGAGGAGCTAAAACGGGCGGCAAAAAGGCTGAAAACCACAATAATGGTGACAATACATAAAACCGCTCGTCAGAAATTCGCTCCAACGTAGAGCTTCTACGTGTTTGAGTCAGCATTTTGCCAACGTCCACGTTTTCTCCGCTAACTTTCCTACACACAAAGTCCAACTTGGACTCCAAGATACTGCAACGTTTCTTCGACAACCATCAAAAGATGCTACTGCGTCTAATGCCGACGTTACAAATTCGAGTTTCTCTCAGAATACTACATGTGCAGCTGCATTATCATTTCGTGAAAATCTTGAGAGAAATTGTTCGCTATTACTACAAGTAGTAAATGACAGAGCATGCCAAACACGTGCAGGTCAATTTTTTACAAAAGTCAAGTCAAATGATTTACTACAGCAAATCATTTGACTTGACTTTTGTAAAAAAATTGACCTTCTGACTGTCGCAATAAGACATAATCGACGATTAGAGGTCATAGGCGCATTCGCTTGGCCCGCCGGTCGCTACGTTCTCGATATAAAAATAAAAATGTCCTGGAGAGTGCAATGCGCGGCTATGGCACCCACGTCGACCAGCCCCATGTGAGTTACCCTAGCGATGGGCGTGTCTTTCTCCTATTTTCTGGTAGTAAATGAACAATGAACATTATTAAAGCCGGCTACAATGTAGCCATGTGCAACAACTTCTCTCCGTCGAAAAAAGAACTCCAGGATTCTATTATAATAATAAGGGATCGACTGCACATCACTCGTCTTCGCTCCTACGTTGTCAATTGTCGTCGAACTACAGTATTCGCTCACGCAAACTCGTAAACACGGAGTACATGTATTAACAGCAAGGCTCATCGGGGCTATCATTGTGCGTCTTCCGCGCTGAAATCAAGCCCAGATGCACGTGCACCTCGTCTTGGTGCTTACGGCGGTCTGTATTTCACGCAGTGATGCAGTCTTCAGCAGCTCCGATCACCTGAAACAGGCAAAGATGGCTTTACCCGACGCTACGTCGTGGACTCGCAGCTTCGTCGGGAACGATGAGCGTAAAAGAAAACTAAGAGCGCGCAACACAAGAAAAATAAAAACGGAAGAGGATGACACCATTGACAGTGGAGACGAGAGGACGATTTCTCTGAAGGAAACTTTCGGCATACTTCGAGACGCTGCACTTAAAGCACAACTCAAGACGCAATTACAGTTATGGCTAGCCCTCGGGCGCAAGCCAGATCAGGTGTGGGAAATGCTGCAACGGACGGGCAAACTGGATGAGTACTACAGGCAGTATACCAAGTACTTTTATGAGTACTTTATCAAGTATTTGGACGAGCCGATGTCGCACGTCCCTCCACAAACTGTCAAAAATATCTGGGAGGCGAGGCTGCATGCTTGGCTACAAACCGACTCCCCTCAACTAGTTTTTGTGAAGCTCGGACTAACTGGAACACCTGAGTCGGCCAATGGCCAGAAGAATTTTGATATCTTCGAAGAGTTCTACAAGAGGTGGACGAAGAAGCAGATAAAAGAGTCGACAGTGCCGAAGCTGGATGTTGTTTTATGACGAAGCTATAATAGGTCGAATATTAACGGTAGATCTCAACGTCAGCGCTTTGAAAGCAATCGTTAATCACGATTCGTTGTGTGTTGTACTACAGTAGTACTTCGAGGTACGTGACCAATTTATAACCATGGGCCTCTTCAACTCCTCCGCATCCGCGAAAAACATGACTCAAACGCGGATTTCTAAGAACTTTAATCGAATTCTAACAGCAAAAACGAGCAATTCGCTGCTCTTCAGTCCTGAATATAACGCGACGATCGTCGTTGGCAAGTACTGTACTCACTCAACCTCAATTGTCATGCAATTACTCACGTGCTCATTTTACTGGAGAGCTCTAAAGATGAACAATGTTAGTAAAGTACTGTAACAAAGGCGGGAAACTGGATCTTGATGACGGCCCTAGCGCATACAGTGAAACATATTTTGTCGGACGAGATGCATGCAACTTCTATTGCTTTACCATTTAGTTTTTGTAAACTCATTTTGACAGAGGCCCCAGAATAAACTCACCCCGGGTACTCGATGTCAACTTTGGATCTTGGCGATCTACGCTACTCCACACATGATTGTTTCACCGCGTATGAATTCTTCTTCCATAGCAGCCAATATTTGATACTTAGGACCTCAACGACCTTTTACGATCTGTCATTGAAGTCTGTGCAACCTGATCTTCCGTGGTACTGGACACTCCAGTAGCTCCACTTGTTGCTGCTTCACCGTCTCCATTGCCACTATCCGAGACCTCCGCTGTTGATGCGCCTTGATCATCAGTGTTACTCGACATAAGAGAGGCCTCAGTAAGTGACGAACCTCCTGCGGGGCCCGGGATTCCACCCTCATCCTTTAGACCGGGAAGACTAGAACTAGTCTCTGGAGGCGACCCAGCAGCACCTGATCCGCTACAATCCACACCTAACGTTCCGGATCCTTCTCCACCGCTTGGTGGGGTCCAGCCGCCTTCTTTGGAGCCACCACCAATCGTTCCCCAGCCTTGACCACCACCCGGTGGGGCCCACCCGCCTGCAGTTGAGCCGCTGCAATCTACACCGAGCGTTTCGCCGCCTTGGCCGCCACCAGGAGGACCCCACCCTTGACCACCACCTGGAGAAGTCATCCCTTTGCCGCCCCACCAGCCTTGACCTCCGCTCGGAGGCTTCCAACCTTGATGTGGCCATCCTCCCTCGCTTGAGCCGCTGCAATCAACACCTAGCGTGCCTCCTTCTTGATCACCACTTGGGAGTGTCCATCCTTGCCCACCGCCCCAGCCTCCTTGGTCACTTGACCCACTGCAATCCACGCCTAACGTTTCCCCTTGGCCTCCCCACTTCTTAGACGGCGGCCAGCCCATTTGTCCTTGGCCTCCACCAAAGTTTGGTGGTCCTGCGGATCCTGCTTGTTGGGGCCAACCTTTGCCACCTCCGCCAGCTCCTTCACCTGAAGGGTTCATGAACTGCGTCGGCATCTCACCTTTTCCAAAACCATTAGGAGTCATCGACATGGTTGAGCCTTCGGTTGCTTGGTTGGGCACCACGGTGCCTGCCGGCTGCGAAACACCCCCGAAATCAATCGCCGACGTTGTGGCGGCTAATGCGGCCGCAAGTAGCACCTGGGGGAAGGAATTCGACCTCATTCGAGGAAAACTGAAAATGACTCTGCAAGGCGCCACGGTCAACCAACAAGACCAGCGTGGTCTTATCGTAGCTCGTCATCCACTTTCGTTTTATCATGAATACCATGACGGAACGCTCTCAGCGTTGTGACTGCCATACAACTTGGACACTAGAACTTGAACAAGCTCGACTCCAACCTGGAGGTCCTTTACAAACAGCGAATACCGGCAGACTCTTTGAGAGATGGGGAACCTATCCTAAAGCTGTTCATGCTGTATTGTCGGGATCCTACCAGCATGCACAGTTAAGGGATCGGCTCCACCATAAACCTCGTACATGTACCCAGACATTCCTCTTTGTTGTGGTACCGCCGGAATCCACTTTTTATCACTACCGGTATTCGAGTCACAATTAGAGCTGTACCGTTACAGGGGTACAGTACCATTGCATTTTCGTGCAGCTCCTGCTGTAGCGCAGCTAGCGCCCCCAGCGCAAGCACTTCCACAAACAGAACAACGACCATTCAAAAACTCTCGCTCTTCTTTACAGGATGTCCTCACGGAGTTTCGAAATGCAATAGCTTGGGTGCGTTTTTCTCGAGTAATTGACGGATTTCTTGCACTATTCGGCGTCCTCTCGATTAAAAACAAAATAAGGATTTTCTTGTTTTATAGCAGATACAGTTTAGTATAATTGCACTTCAAAGTACTATTTTCTGATCAGCAGGAGGGATTCACAATGCAAAGCAGAGATTTGATACAGCATAACCAATGCTTCACCACACAGCAAAGTATTATTAAAACTCTTGGCTTGCTTCTAAGCGATAATACTCCAATCAAAGATACGATTTGATGTTTTTTCCCTGAGACACCCGTTATTTTGCCCGACTCAGGAAAAATAGCATGAACCTTTGTACGTATACAGAAAGTATAGTACTGTAAAATTGGAGTTGTGACGGGGTAACACAGCACCTTGCGCTAGAGGAAGTTGGCTTCCGAGAGTATACAAACTCTCAGTGAACGGCAGTTCACTGTATAGAAACGAAGTGACCAATTTAAGGTAGGCTGTAAGCTGAGTATTTGATAGATAGGCTAAGCTTAAGTTAAATAAACAAACTATAAGTCACCTATATAAAGCAATGTCATCAGCCAATGGTTAGCCTCGGACGACCCTGGTACCGTGTACCAGATATCCCGAAGTATGACGTGTCACACTTTATGTAACTAGGGGTACACTTAGAGCTACGTACCCCGTTACATCCTCTCCCACTTAGGTTCGGCTCACCGACCAATCAGAATAAGGAAGTGTACGTCACAAACTCTCATTCTCAACGTCGAAATACATCGACTCGGCTGCGCGAGTGCGGCGGAGGCTCACTTCACAGTTAGAGCCTCAAACAGCGGTTACGCGCTCTTCTTCTTGCTCTCCACATCGACCGTTACCATGCTCCGCGGCACTGCGAAGAGCGGTGCGAAGACACGCTCCAAGGCTGCTGCCGGAAAGGCGCAAGCCAAGAGCGCTAAGCCTCCCGGCAAAGTCTCTGCACTCCAGGAGGCTACTAAGGTGCCCTCAGCGGCGATCGGCTCAACTGGTGAGGCGGCTGCGAGCAAGCTCGCGAGCAAGCGCCGCAGTCCATCACCCTCGGTCTCACCAGACAACCGTCCGAGCCCTCGGTTCGCCGAACGTAAGTAAAACTCGGGCAGTGAGGACGAGGCCGAGTCCGGGAGCACTCACGATGCTTCTGTTGGCTCCGTGGGAGGGCACAGTTCAGTGCCCAGCGAGCACAATGACGACAGCATGCAGTCGCTTGCTACTGATCACGGTGATCACGCTCTCAGGACGTCGGCGCGCTCTCAGAGTCCTGCCGCCAAGGCTAAGCGCAGTCCCAAAGCTGGCGACGACGAGGAGGAGAAACCTCGCAAACATCTCTCGCTTGCCGAGGGTCTTGCGTGTGCTAAGACCGCTAAGGCCAAAGGCGCCAGGCCCTCTAAGAAGCGTACGCCTTCGAAGTCTCCACTCCGCGAGGAGAAGGAGACTGGGTACTCCTATCGGAACCTCTTCGATTCCTCGGATGAGGAGGACGAGGGGGAGGAGGAAGATGAAGAGGGTGGTATCTCTGAGCCCCGGTCGGTCACGATTGACCTCGACCAGCAGCAGGAGGATTTCTAAGCTGCCCAGCGTGTGCGTGAGGGTTCGGTGGTGGCACCCGTCAGCCAGGGAGCTGCCATCAACTCAAGAGGGTATCGGCCTCCCAAGGAGATCTTTGGGGCTGACCTCTTCCTAGCGCTAATCATCGCTCCTTGTGGCCTTGTGGGCGGCCACACTTCTAGGAGCATTTACGAACGTGCCCTTGTTCAGAAGGAACAGTTGTTCGTTGACAACTTGGAGGCCGCCCGGTGCGTGCTTCTCGCGCCGCACCGAATCCCTCTAAAGGACTTCACGACTTGTCGTAAGAAGCCCGAGAATCGGGGTGGTCTCTACCCTCTCTGAGGCTATCCCTGGATTCTTCCCGAGAGCTGTCCCAACTGGAACTCATGTGAGGACATATTCCGGTCTTGGGTGGAGTCTCTCAGCTACTTACCCTCGGAGTTACGGAAACTCCATGAAGATCAGCTGCTGTCCCGCACCCTGGACCAGCGTGTCCCGCACCCTGGACCGGCGTGATCTTCGTGCTCGGTTTGCCCACTTGGTCAGCAAGCGCATGCTGCCAAGGGACATCCTGAAGCGTGCGGCTTCCAGCGCTCATGATGAGCGCGAGTACGGTGTGTATTCAACGTCCGTACCCCGTTCGGGCAAGAAGCCCCGGACTACTTATGACGTTGCCACCGCTTCTGTTCCCAGATTGCGACAGCCTTCGGGAAGTCAATCAGGAGCCGCTCAATTGGCCCCCACGAGTTCTCGGAGTGGGCATAACCCCTCCACTTCACGAGGAGCTGTCGCTTACCGCGAAGCCGTTGCTCCTGGAGGATCCGCTCCACGTGGAAGTGGACTTCTCCATTCCGGTCAAGCAGGGGCGGAGGTGCCCTCGTACGAGTACGAGTACTCGGCGCCTCCCGAACGCCACTCTCGTCCGAGTGCCGGCTGCGGGTCCGACGCAGGGCCCTGAGGTTGACCGCCTTCGTCAATGCGTCCTCGTGCTAGAGATTGTACTTGGCCTTGGGACTGGCGGTGATGCTGCCGCCCAGACCGGGAAGCAGGGCGTGCTCGCTCATCTTGCGGGTCGCATACCTGTTGGAGCGGGAGGTCTCGAGATTGCATCTGCGGGTGGACCGGCGGGCCTCTTCGTATCTTGACGAAGCCTTCCGCATGATCCGACGTATCGAGGCTCTGCTGCCACGTTCGGAGCCACATTCGGCGCACTCCCAGTCGAACGCGTATGGTGCGTACCCG